TCACCGATCCTGTATCAAGGGGTTTTAGTGGTCTAGAAAACACTAGTGGCTGAAAAGAACATGGTAAAGCATCCAAATCCACATGCTTATCATAATTTTCATGTCTTGTATTGATTTCTGGATAGAAGATCATGAAGGATGATAAAGAATGCAACAGATAACGTCACATTCATGGTTATAGATGCTCTTATCAAAGCATCTTTAATTTTTTGTGTTACTTTAGCTACAAGTCTCCAACTGCTTCATCCTTTGGGCCCCTACCTAAATTCTTTACAACTATACATCACACTCCTCTACCTTCCCTCACCATCTCCTCATCTCTTGCAGTTATCTCCTTGTCATCAACGTGGAGAAGATGACAATAAGGAGCAAAAGCACAAATACACCATCAAGAGGATAATGTTGATATTGAAGTGAATTAAAAGGAGCGATGGGACTGAAACAGGAGTCAAGGAAGGTGAAGACTGGGAACAAGAGTCAAATGAAGGAAAACTGTTATGACAAAAAAGGTGATCATCTTGTGCCTTGGAAATGATAGGCAAACACAAACAATCTAAATATCATCAAAATATGTAACAAGTTCCATCCTTGTCTAAAGAAACTTAGTTTTTGCACTGAGTACCCTCATTTATTTCTCTCCAAATAATGTTTTAGAATCCCACATGGTTTCACTAACTCAAGGCAACAGAATGAAAAACTGTGTGCCATGCACTAACTGTTGCGCACAACAATTTCATGCTTCAATGTTTAGAACTCGATATACATAAAATAGCTGAACATGAAGACCTAAGAAGAAAGAACAGAGTATTCTTCAAATCATAGGAAGGTGGAAAAAGTCAAAGTTCATCAGAATGCATGCCTACATTTTTTTTTTTTTTTTGAGGAATAAGGACAACCATCTCCCCTGATAAGTATACAAAGTACAGGCTTCATAAAGCTAAATACAGAAGCTACAAAGGTGTCATCTAAAAGGACATTTGAAGTATTACCTTCTGAGATCACAATCACCCTCCTGATGTACATAGCTTCTAATAGTACATATTGCAGATTTTAATAGTTAGCTCAAGTGGATTACGTTGCTAGCCATAATTAGTTGTAGGTAACTTTTTTCTTAATTTTCATTCACAAAACCTTCACAGCAACTTCAACTAGGCAAGATGATGCTAAGATTTCACAATATAAAGATTGAAACTACCCATAGCACAAGGGAATGAGATTTAAGACACGGAATGGTCTAAGAACAGGTGACAATAAAATACTGATAGAACTGTGGACAAGGCTATCACCTCCCAGAATTCGATATGCGTTGGTGTCGCTCTGTCCAAGTCAAGATGCATTTTGATGTCATCATGGAGCTCTTCCATTTCCTTCACCGTGAGACCCTGCATGATCATGGCAATTATCGACTAGTCAGCGCATGGAAAAAAAAAGCTAAACCCAACACATCTAGCATATCTTAGTTAAGCAGTTGTTATTCAGAAAACATATAAAAAATGATGTGTACCATGCACAACTTAAACTTCCTAACAAAAATTAAGTGGGTAGAAAATTATTACCTTAAAAACAGTATAAGGTTCATTTATCTCAATATCAAAATCATCCGAGACATTAAGGTTCTTTGAGAGTATGTCAATAGGTTTCATGCGCCCCTCGCGAAGTCTAATCTGGGACCTGACTTTGCTTTGATCAAAATGGAACTGCAAAACAATGTTTAGCAAGTATTATAGATAGTAACATTGACAAAAAGTACAAGACAAAAGACTGATTATAAAATGAATTTATAAGAATGGTAGAAAAGATAAAATTGAGTCCAGCTTCACACCTCTTCTTCTCTCTTTTCCCAATCTTGGAATTCAGCCCTAGCTCTTTCCCGGGCCAGCAATGCCTAAAAAAGTAAATTAATTTTGCATTATGATAACTTGTTAAGTTGCTTGCACAAAGTAACAGCAGTTAATATGAATAATCTAAACCTACCATTTCTTCCTCATGCTGTGCTTTCTCAATTGCTCTCTCCTCCCTCCGCTTTTTCACCTTTTCAATCTCCGCCTGGGTTGAAACAAAATAAACACATGTAAATAGACAGAAATTTCCAACCAAAATTTGAAATGACAATATTATAGTCCTAATTGAAGTTTTTGTCTAAAAGGTTTTGTTCTAAGTAAGAACACATAGGTTTCTGTTATTTTGTACCAACATCTCAAGAGAGAACTAGGAAAACAGAAAATAACAACCTTGTAGGACATGGAAAATCCATATTGATACTTGAGGCCTTTGCACATTGTTTTGAGTCTTGCACCTTGGCATCACTGATATGTTACATGAGAATATTGAAATCTAATTTATGTATTGCAAACTTCTAATGATAGATATGGTCATCAAATGAGATTTCGTTTTCTTAATGTATAAAGAGCAGATTGCTTGTGCACACGCGAGCGCGCAATTGGATATCCAAACAATTGGAAAGGGAAAGCAAATGAAACATGTGTTATGAACAAAGTTGAAACATGTAATATCCTTTATCAGAACTTTTAACTTGTTGGATCCTTAGATTAAGGCATGCTATTTATAAATATGAAAATTGCTATGTGCAGTGACTTACCATCCTCTCCTTTTGTCTCTTCTTTTCTGCTTTGACTGATATGTCTAGTTCTCGGCCCTGCACAACATCACGCTCTATCTTCTTACGCCATACAAATCTGCACAAGAGATTTGAAATTACCAGGTGTATAAATAGAAAAAGAATAATTAGCATTGGACCACATGGTGCTTCGAAGGAGAGTAGGTGGCAGATAAATCTCCCAACCCCACCCAAAATCCTATCTATCTATATTATCACTGAAAAATACCATACAAGAAGTCCTTTTGGCAACTGCAAAGTTTTTCTTAATCCAAAAAAGCTAAGATTGTAAATTGTAAGCAGTCATTTTAACTACAAGAGGAATATCCCCTGAACAATCAAACTTGTAGTTGATGAAACTTTTACATATTTAAAGGTCAACCTATGTGTTTTCACTAAATAGGGAATCAGTTTCAGCCGTCATATCACCCAAACAACCAAACTTTCTCATCGATCGCAATTTTACACACTTAAAGACTTAAAGTAACAAAGTAACAGATATGCCTCTTACCATGGTGAGTAGGTCAGGTAGGACAGAGAAAAAAAATTCAATCTCTACACAAAAATTAAGTGTATACAGACAGTCATAATTTATCCTATAGAAAAGACCTTGGAATGCAAAAATAACAAGAAACTATATGGATATATGGGTTTTACTTGAGCATAAAGGTTAGCACAAGTCATACTTAACAACATATATAAGTGTTTAACTGCAACGTCATCAACCATCCTTCTCCCTTGTAACGTTAGTTGATGTGAAAATTCAACCCCAATAACTATTACTTGCTGCTATAAACTGTACCATTTATTTACCCCTATAGCCTTTGATTCTATGAAATTATTTGAAAACTGTTTATGTTGGCATGAATGTGAGTGAAGTACCCATTAAGCCATAGTTGCAAATATTATACTATAAATTTCACTTAGTATCCCAAACAAATTGTTTAAAACTCACGTTTCTCCGAGGTTAGAATCACCAAAGGGGTTAGAATCATTCGAATAACCGGAAACCGCCTGTGATTTTAGTTTCTTTGCCACCTTCAAAGCCTACAGAAGAAACAACAAAATCATTAACCAAATTTAAATTTTTTATTAAAAAACCCAAAAGAACACAAGATTAAGAATCCACTCACCTTTTTTTGAGATTTCTTGGCCATATATTCAATTATCTCCTCCTCGGTGATCTTCCTCTTCCTTCGACTCCTCCTCTCATCTGATTCCGAATCCGATGATTCCTCTCTCCTCTTCTTCGCATTCCTTCGACTCCTTCTCCTCTCATCGGATTCCGATCCCGACGATTCTTCTCTCCTCTTCCTGCTACTCCTTCGACTGCTGCTACTTCCAGGACGAGAGCTCTTCTCCCTTCTCGGCGAAGAACCGGAGTCTGTATCGGAGTTCCTCCGCCTCCTACTCGACCTCTTCGACCTTCGCAGGCTTCTCGAATCGGAATCGGATCCAGCTTCGGATGCGGAGTCTTCATCCTCGGATCTCCGAGAAACTCTCCCCTCTTTCGCCATGGTGGACTCAGTCGAGAAGCCTCTATTCTTCAATTTCTAGGGTTTTTCTGGAGGAAGCTAGGGCTTTAGTTTGTGATTAGGGCTTGTTCGTTTGCCTGAAAAAAAAGAGGGAAATCAAAGAAATGGAAAACTATTAAAATGAAGAATTGTTTAAATGGAGTGTTTGGCTGGCTAAAAAAGAAGGAAATCAATGAAATGAAATTGAAATGATGTTAGTTGTCACCTTATTATTGGATGATGTTTGTGATTTTTTAAGAAAACTAATTTTAGAGTGTTCGGTTGGTGAAAAAAAATAAGAAAATGAATTATAAGAAACCTATTTCTTGTAGTTTCTTGTTTTCTTCTGTTCGGTTCATTCTTAAAAATAAGAAATGAAATGAGATGAGATGAGTTGTCATTGTATTATTGGGTGATGTGAAGAAAGATTAAGAAAAGTGTTTTCATAACTTTTTGGGATGAAAATGAAGAAATGAAATGTTAATGAGATGAGGTGAATTGTTATAATATTTTATTGGATGATGTGAGTGATTTGAAATGATGAGAAGAGATGAGTTGAGTGATGTTTGGATGAAAATAATATTTTATTAGATGTGATGAATGAGTTGTTAGATGAAAATAATATTTTATTAGATGTGATGGATGAGTGGTTAGATGAAAATCATATTTTAGGGGTTGTTTGGTTCGCTAAAAAAACATGGAAAATAAAGAAAAGGAAACATATTTCCCATAATTGGATGTTTTCTTGTGTTTGGTTCACTTCTTAGAAGTAAAAATTGTTCGGTTCATTCTTAAAAATAAGAAATGAAATGAGATGAGATGAGTTGTCATTGTATTATTGGGTGATGTGAAGAAAGATTAAGAAAAGTGTTTTCATAACTTTTTGGGATGAAAATGAAGAAATGAAATGTTAATGAGATGAGGTGAATTGTTATAATATTTTATTGGATGATGTGAGTGATTTGAAATGATGAGAAGAGATGAGTTGAGTGATGTTTGGATGAAAATAATATTTTATTAGATGTGATGGATGAGTTGTTAGATGAAAATAATATTTTATTAGATGTGATGGATGAGTGGTTAGATGAAAATCATATTTTATTAGATGATGTGGATGAGTTGTTGGATGGAAATAATATTTTATTGGATGTTGTGGGTGAGTTTTAGGGATGGAAATGGAGGAAATGGTGAGTTTTGAGATTTTCACCATTTCCATTTCCATTTCTTGGTTTTTAGAAAACAAACGAACAGGCCCTTAATGGATTTATTTTGGATAGCGAAGGAGACGAAAGGGGATTTACAATAAGGGTCTGTTTTTTTGCTCAAAAAAAATGAGAAAACACCCGCCACATCACCTTTCAAGAAATCTCCTATGTGCCACATAGGATTTTGGTTTCAAGGGTTTTCCATTTCTTCAGTTTGTTTCATTTTGTAATTTAAAGAAATGAAACGCCACATAGGATGCCACATCAGTTTTTTAAGAAATGTGTTTTCACAACAAAAACCTCTGAAAACACTTGGAAATATCACTTCAATGAATTATTTATTACTAAAAGCACTGTTAGAATAGTAAAGCTGAATAAAACATATTATTTAAATGGGCTGATTTCTCTTTCCTTTGCTTTTTGTTCAAACAAACAGAAGAAATAGAAATGTGGTGCACTGTTACTATTACGGTTTTTTTTGTCTGTTTGTGTGACTTGGCGGTGAAATAAGGTGATTTCTTTGCGAAACAAACACAAAAAAAGAAATATGGGAAAACTCTTGAAATGGGTTGAAATCAAATGAAATGTGACATTTCCATTTCCGATTTTTTAGGAAAACAACCAAACAGCGCCTTAGGTTTCAGCATTTCCAATTTGGGTTGTCCTGAAATTTTATTTGTGGGTTTGATATCAATAAGTTTTCTAATTAACGACAATTTTGAAATTTAATGCCTCAAAAGTCATAATTTTACACCCTTTAACTCTAGGTATCAAATTGTCAAAATAGGACTTCATGATGTCAAAATTGAAACTTTGGGTGTAAAAAGTTTGGTTAATTAGCACTTAAATACCTTTAATAACAAGTTTTAAGACAATATGTCATGGCCTTGTGTCATGAAAAAGAGTCAAAAATGTTTAACTTAGGGGTTCTATCTGCAATACTAAAACTACAGGGCAATAAATGCAAAACGGCAACAGTACAGGGTCTATGTGCGATTAATACTAAATATAAGGGTTAATTTCATATAAACCCCCTGAACATTGGGGGTGTTGTACATAACCACCTTGAAGTTTGTTTATGTCACACAACCCCCTAATAGTAGGCCCCCTCTAAACTTCAGACTGTTCTCATTGAGCCCCTCCTATATGTGATTTGCAAATAACCAAAAAATTATCGTTATAGAAAAACTCAAATTACAGGAGAGGGTGTATGTTGTCTTTAACTGACAAGTGGCAAAGTTTAGAATGTTTTTAGTTAAATATATTTTAGTTATTACAAATTACAAGCTGGAGGCTTATATGAGACGAGGAAAATTTCATGGGGGTAAGGGACACCCACAGTTCAGGGTGTTATGTAAAGATAACAAAGTTTGGGGGGTTCATGTGACACCCTATAGTTTTAGGGGGTTATGTGAAGATAACAACATTTAGGGGGTCATGTGTAACACCCGTTCAAGGGGTTATGTGAACTTAACCCTAAAAGGGAACCCTTAAATTTGAAAGAGAAAATCTAAGGTCCAAATGTAATTAGCATGCTAGCGGATTATTGGATATTTCATAACTCAAGCGTATTCAATTATTATTTGTTTATTAACATCTGAAATATAATTTCTTAAGATTACTCAGCAAAGCAAGACGACTTATAAGCCTCAAGGCAATTCAAATATTATCAAAGAATTCGCTATATTTATTATATATTGAATACTTCCATATATAATACTGAATAGTTTCTCCTTGAAAACGAGGTCCAAATGTGTCTCGAAATTGAACTTCTTGTTATATATCAGTGGCTTACGCGTTGGAGGAATTACAAATAGGATTCAGATCCTCTCCACTATCTAAAAGTTAGTGGAGGGACCACTATATAATCACAAGCATTGATTATCTAGTTGGTGATTGTGGTTTTTTCTTTGAGTGTAAATTAGAAATGAGCGCAATACACGGGGTATGGTGAGTGTTAGATTTAGATTGTATCATAACCGTTTACTAAGTAATCAACGATTAAGATTAAAAGTAGGGGTCTCTTCACTACATTTTTGTAGTGGAGAGGATCCAAATCCTTACAAACGGTAACACCTTTCTCACTCATGAATGAAGAAAATGCCACGTGAATATTACCCGATACAAATTCCCAACACTGCGGAGATCTACGGAGTCCCATCAACTGAATCTGCAAGTGACTACGGCTGTCAATGATTCATAGAAACTAGCAACAACCTAGAACTGATCTACTCTTTTCAACAAATTGCTTCAGATCATGTTTAAAACATCTCGAAACAAAGGATAAAAAAGACCCACAGCAGGCAATTAAACTTGAAAGGAATAGATGTGGACATGGCATTCTTTTTAAGGGAGTGTATAAAAGATTTGCATTATTGTATGAACTACTCCCACATATTTACCAATTCAAACTACAGTGAGACATAAAACACAGATAGACGTAATGTATACAATAATGGATATTGCACAAGACAAATGTTAGGGAAAACGCAGGCATGAAAAGACTTGAGCCGAAACAGATTAATGAACATGCTTTCATACAAATGATCAACGTCCTAAGACCATATAAACTGACATCGAACAGCAAGAGTACGTAAAAAAAAGGACATACAGATCGATCAGAAATATCAGTATACATCTCAGTAATTAACAACACCACCGAAGTATAAAATTCTTCAAAGATTAGCAATATCAATGGACTGCCTCTTAATGAGATGATCCATAGATGTATAAATGTATTCCTGTCCGATGTCAAAAGTCAGAACACCAAAACAGAAAAAGATGCATTTTGGGGGAAGTCTCCCATAACAAGAAGCAGCAGTTACGGTCATCAGCAAACATAACAGCACAACACACGATTCAAACGAATAGAAAGATAAAACAGGAGGGTAAAAGGCGGCGAATTTGAGACAAAATACGCAGGTTACTTAGCCAAAATTGGCCTGAAAAAGGCCACCACTAGTTAATACGTAAACAGTTAGTTAAAGCTGCTTAATACCCAAAGGCACTTCAAAATTTTGCTTGCGGACACCAAGGCATTAGTATGCCGCACCTCATATCTAGAGACAGAGTCAACTGTTTTAATGAACAAAAGCAAAAATGAGTACCCCTCTAACAATAGAACACTTAATTTAACGTTGCTTTTAATTTTTGGCATAGGGCGCACTTCAGCGTTTTCGACACACGTTCCACCCACTGTCGCGGACCCTCCATCAGAATTGCTCTCAACATAGCACCTCGCCCAAAAGGAAGCAAGATGTGCGTAGTAAGCTGGCGGGACTGCAAATGAGAAGTAAACACCATATAAGAGAAAACCAAGTTAAAAATGCAGCAAAAGAATAGAAGACAGTTACCAACTGAAACTGAACAGGTACATCGAGCAAAAATGTAGATCATAATAAGAACATGGAAAATGAATAGGTACGAAAGGACCATGATGAACAAATTCAACATAGAATAAGGTAAATTAGACATACATGTAGCACGAACTATAAGTTAGAACTTGGAGGGCATCTGCAGAGAAGTGACTTTCATCCCAGAGAACGTGACAGTGTTCCTGCTCTTTACTTCTTTGTAGTAAAAGTGTTTATTATACTCCTGTTGTCTACAAATGCATCCTTAAAGCTGAGCATGACAGTAGCCAACCTGGAAGTATGTTCCTGCTCTTGTTTCCAGCAGGGTTGCTTGCATGGAACTCAGGAAACAAGCGGATGTGATGCCTTTTCTGCACAAACACATACTAGAAATTGTCAACAAAAACACATACTAGAAATTGTTACAGTCGCTTTACTATTCAGAAAGCAAGGTAACTTACTCAAGAAGCATAAGCTACAATAAATCATTAGATGCGTCTTATTTTCAGATAAAAACACTTTAA